GACTGTACATGCCTCTATATAACTATACATACATTCCTCTATAAGACTTAACATACATGCCTCTATAAGATTGTACATGCCTCTATAAGACTGTACATGCCTCTATATAACTATACATACATTCCTCTATAAGACTTCACATACATGCCTCTATAAGATTGTACATGCCTCTATAAGGCTGTACTTGCCTTTATAAGACTGCAAATGCTTCCATAATACTGTACATTCCTCCATACGACTCGTCGAGTCATAAGTAAACTTTAAGATTGAAGGATCCCTTGTGGACACAAACCAATCAAAGTGTTTCATTTAAAGCCATGTAAATCCCAAGTGCGTTGAGAAAACTCCTAGTTGTCATGGCAACAAACCCAACAGGTTATTCCAGAGATAAATCGCCCGGTTTTCCCCATTCATGTGATAAGCTCTAAGTCTTTGTTATGCATATGTCAACATTGCCGTATAAAGCTGGAGATCTAAAGTATTGTCAGGGATAGAAATACCTGTAGTCAGGTAGGTCCCAGTCCCAGCACTCTATTTGGAAGGCATAGATAGAAATACCTGTAGTCAGGTAGGTCCCAGCTCCCAGCACTCTATTTGGAAGGCATAGATAGAAATGCCTCTAGTCAGGTAGGTCCCAGTCCTCTATTTGGAAGGCATAGATAGAAATACCTCTAGTCTGGTAGGTTCCAGTACTTTATTTGGAAGGCATAGATAGAAATACCTCTAGTCTGTTCAGACCTAAATTCCATTATTTTTATTTTACTTTAGCAGTTTAAATAGTTTACATATTTTTTTAATAATTGTAAAGCGCTTAGAGCTGTAAGGTAAGCGCTATAAAAAAAAAATAATGCCTAAATAAAAAAAAAAAATAATAATCAGGTAGGTTCCAGTAATCTAGTTGGGAGGCAAAGATAGAAATATCTGAAGTCTGGTAGGTCCCAGCACTTTAGTTGGCAGGCATAGATAAAAACAAAAGGGAGGTTAATAGAAATCTAGTACATGAGGTTGATACACCAGCTAATTCATTACTCCATCTTCTTCTTATTCCATATATTAAGGGCCCACGATCAATGTATCGATCATTGTGGCTCCTATGTATGGAAAAGGGGTTTGCATCTAATTCATTACTTCCAAGCTGTTTGTTGCTTGCGCCAATTGTAAATGATACGAAACGCGATCACGGGATAATTTCAATTTCAATTGGTTCACCTCCAACCATTAGCTAACGTGATTTATGGACACAACAACTGCCTCCGATTTTATTAGTTTGTTTCCAAGATGGCAAAGATTAGGTGATATTTGCCTTTATAAAAAAATGACATTTAAAGTTGATCTCAAATATTTCTGATAGTTTGGAACTATCTCAATAAAGGTGCGTAGCACTGAGAGAGTCGAGTCCGGACAAATTGAGTTATGGATCAATGTCGATGGAGGAAAAAGATAGAAAGGCCGAGAGCGAGAAAGAGAGAGAGAGAGAGAGAGAAAGAGAGAGAGAGAGAGAGAGAAAGAGAGAGAGAGAGAGAAAGAGAGAGAGAGAGAGAGAAAGAGAGAGAGAGAGAGAGGTCGGTCTCCATTGCCATATATCTAAAAGTTAATGCACCTCCCTGATCTCAAATCTGAAGGAAATAGTTGACACGTTTAAGATTGTTATGATAAGACGAAGCCTACGTCAATAGCGTAGCTTGATTAATTGCCCACGTCACTGCAGGTGGTCGTTATCTTTTTCTTTAAAGAAATCATGAAACATGAACTATATCTAATGGTATGCACAAGATCAGCTAAATATTATTATTTAATGTGCACTACAGCGAACACATTATAAAAAAAAAATTAGCTAGATATGATCCATGTTCAATCTGTTTGGGTTGCATTTAAACAACCCCTAACAACAACATTGTTCGCATAAATACTTTATGTCAGGCATTATGTATTTTTTATTATTTATTTTATATTAATGTTCTAATGTCCCGCCCTCTTTTACGCTGCAGAATTATTTTAACAACTATTTCATTAAACAAAAAAGAAGAAAATATTACGCACCAAACGCACTTGCGATGTTGTTGGTGTTTTTTAAAAAAAAGATTATCATTTAGCGCAGTTATTGGGAATTTTATTTCGTGAAATCAGTTGGCATCACATTTCCTTCATCTTCTCCTTGAAAGACAGGGAAAAAAAAGAAGATTTTTTGGGGGCTTGGGGCTGAAAATTTAAAAGAATGTGTTGTCATCGGCAACAGTTCTATGTGCCACGTTTCAGCTTGATAGGTTGACGGGAAGTGGGTCAATTTGCCACACGAAGATTTTTGCCTGCCAGCCACGAATAAAAGCGAAGTTAACATAAAGGGTTTTAAATATATGTGACTCTGTGCCAAAGCTATTAAAATAATCGCCAGCTTTGTCAATGTTCACATGTAGGAACTCGAGATGCACATTTTCAAACACGCTAAAAAGATAAATAACACCCCAAAATGAATCCCCATTGTCTAACCCCAGGTGTATGACCCCCAAGGACTCCGCTGAAGTGGACATTAACGACAACATCAGCCCACCAGGCCACCGGATGTTGAACACACAGATGTTGATGCTCGTGGGATCGATGTCGCTGGCCGCGGTCGCAATGGTCACCAAAGAGACGGGCATTTCCGTCCTGGGGGTGTCTTTGCTTTACGACGTCTTGTGTCACTGGAGACACGTCATGACGTAAGTTTCTAGATGTTACGTCTGTCTCTCGCTGATTATCAGCTGGACGTATTTAAGCATAAACTCCGAGTGAGTATCTGGAACCCTAGATCTATATTTTGTTCTGATCGACGTTTCTTGTTTCAAAAAAAAAAAAAAAACCTCATTGTTGTCAGTCGTAGAATTCGTTTAATATCGGCATCCACAGATATCTCCGGTCAGGGGGTGTGTCTCAACAGGCCTGGGGATGTTTCATAAGATGCGGCGTTACCCTGGCAACGGTAAGTAAGATCATTGACAACTATAGCATGGTGGGATTTGGGATGGTTGTAGCCTGGGGCCTCTTTAAGCCCCGGATAAGTGTCTTTCAATTATTTAACAGACAAATGCTTCGGGATCTGGTTCCTAGAACATTGCTCTATGCGTTAAAAACATAATGTCACAGGGAACTTTACTTTACGAGTTAGGAACTGAAATTATAACAATGTGTCCTGGTGACGGGAGATCTCAAACGTGCCGCTTCGCGGCCCGATACTCGGGCTCAGGGAGAGGTGCTTTGGGAAGGGCATAAAGTGCTTGGTGCAAGCTCGACAACTCACCGAAGCCATTTTCTAATGTACAATTTCAGTTATAAATTCCTTCAAAAAAAAAAATTGTAACCCTCTCCTATGACCAGTTATAACATACAAATATTACTTGGCCACGCCTCTTGTGTCAAATGTGACAGATTTAACAAAGGACAGTGTCATCATTAACAAATCTATATTTGTATTGTGAACCCCAGGGTATGTCCCTACTCTGTATGAGGTTGAAGATAATGGACTACCAACAACCGGTGTTCCAGGAGGAAGACAACCCTGCCTCATTTTCTTCATCTTTTCTCACAAGGTATGAACTTTACAAAACAACGGTTAGCTTTCTTGAAACTAAAATTTCAGAGCGAAGATGGCACTCGCCCGGGCGCCATCTTCAGAGGGCGCCGAAATTGAGGCTTTGCCCCGAGCACAGCTTTTGCTTGCCGCTGCCCTGTGCATGCTTACTTTAAGCACGATGTAATATGGCGTTAAAATTATAATACTCCTATCACTTTTATTCCTTGGCTGGAACTAAATGAAAAGCAATCTATTACATTGCACCCCGTCCCCAATCTCCCGTCTAGAAGACACGTGACTTGCCTTCTGCTGGCTACATCTTACATCTGGAACAGCTGAATGAGAACGTAATTAAATGAGTTGTATACCTCAAAATACCCCCCCCCCTTTTTTTTTTTTCTTTTTCAAATAGCAATTATTAATGTTTAATGGGCTATATCAGACATCCGGGTCGTAAAACTTTTGATCAAGCGATAGTCGGAGAGATGAGATGGGAAACATCTTGAGACAGTAGTTTGAAGAACGGGTTAGAGTTATGGAGAGAAAGAGAGATAATGGGAGAGAGGGAAAGAGAAGGGAGAGAGAGAGATAGAGAGAGAGAGAAGTGCATAAAGAGGAGCAATGAATCGAAGTGAGATAAATAAGAGGAGCTTTGAGAATTAGAAATGTAGATTGGCAATTGAGAGATTGAGCAAATTAAGTTGTTGCACGAAAGAGAGAAAACAGCGAAAGAGTGAGTTAATACCTGTGTGTTGACCGACCTAATGTTAATTCAATCGCATTTCTCCCCCTTTTCTGTTTCAATATTGACATCACCGATTAAATGTAAATATAAAGCGATGTCCGTCCCCCCCCCCCGCCCATTTGATTGAGAAAAGGTTGTTTACGATCTGATTTGTTTGTAAACAACGAAATCGGATGATGCAATTTATCGAATTTATTGTCTGGAGGGTTTAACGTCCCTTCCTGCAAATAAGCCGGCATGTTACCAGCCGAAAAAGACTTTTGCTAATTTTAATAGACCTTTACGAGACCTAATATACTGATAAAAGCCTTTTAAGATTGTACTCTGTGTGTGTGCATATTAATATTTGCATCTTTCGAGGATTGTACTTTTTTCACTTGCTGTCAGTTTAATATAGTCTTTATTGCTGTAAATTTGTTTTTGTATTTTCATATAAATTTGATAGTATGATTAAATTGATTATTGTGAGTTATCACTAGCTTTGGTATCGGTTTTCTTTGCATGCTGGTTGTCCAGTACTTTGTTACGCGTTCTTCATCTAACGAGCCAAATCTTAAAAAAAGATTAAATTTACAAAACCATTTAATATAACGGTGCGTAACTGAGTAATGAAGGGATACTTGGGGGGGGGGGGGGAAAAAAGATGGGATAAATGACGTTATTTCTGTCAGGTGGTTCTTAGCGTGGACTTTGAGTTGTTGGACCATCCTCAGGTGTATGACCTTCAACTTTCTCACCGGGTTCAATGCGTGGCTCCTGCTCAACCCATCACGCCTGAGTTATGACTGGACAGGGGGCAGCATCTCCCTCGTGGAATCACTTTGTGACGTCAGAAATATCTGCACCTTTGGGTTCTACACTTCAATAGCGGTTCTCATTTGGAAGTGTTTGTCTTCTCTAGTGGTCACGGTGAGTGATTTGATTAAAGAAATCAATTCATTTGCAACACACAACAAACAAACAAAAAAAAACAACAAAAAGTTAAAAAAGAAAATACAACTTTGTTTTAAGTGCAAGCTTCTAGTTTAATTTTTTTCTAGAACAGAATCACTTGAGCATCTAAAATTGTAAATAAATCAACAAAACTTCCGTTCGACCAAACTTCCGTTCGATCAAATTTCTGTTCGATCAAACTTCCATCGATCAATTTTCCGTCAACGAAATTTCTTTCAAACAAATTTCCGGATACGGTTCAGGATCTGCCATAATTTGATGAAAAAGTGACGTCAGACAGGTGCATATCAAATTTCAGCTTCCTATTTAGGGCCGTAGACGTTGAAAACGATTAACCATCTAACAAGGAACCAAATAAACACACAAAGCTCATATCAAGTGGCGTAAAAGGTTTCTTTGAAGGCCTGGCCTGAAATTAAACAAAAGCAGACAGCCGGCCACGGGCCATGAACACGAGGGAGGGGGGGATGACCTATCAGCTTACCTGGGACGCAATGTATAATACATGTAGCACCGCTCGATACAGATGAGTGAATTCCCAAGCTTCAGGGTTGGGAAATTTTGTTTAAAACGAAAAAAAAAAAAAAAGAAATCCTTATTTCGGTAGCCGTGTGGCGAGTGGGTGGCTGGTTGGTAGCTAGTTGGTGATTGGTTGGTGGCTGGTTGGTAGCTAGTTGGTGATTGGTTGGTGGCTGGTTGGTAGCTAGTTGGTGATTGGTGGGTGGCTGGTTGGTAGCTAGTTGGTGATTGGTTGGTGGCTGGTTGGTAGCTAGTTGGTGATTGGTTGGTGGCTGGTTGGTAGCTAGTTGGTGATTGGTTGGTGGCTGGTTGGTAGCTAGTTGGTGATTGGTTGGTGGCTGGTTGGTGGCTAGTTGGTGATTGGTTGGTGGCTGGTTGGTAGCTAGTTGTTGATTGGTTGGTGGCTGGTTGGTAGCTAGTTGGTGATTGGTTGGTGGCTGGTTGGTAGCTAGTTGGTGATTGGTTGGTGGCTGGGTGGTGGCTAGTTGGTGATTGGTTGGTGGCTGGTTGGTAGCTAGTTGGTGATTGGTTGGTGGCTGGGTGGTGGTCAGTTGGTGATTGGTGGGTGGCTGGTTGGTAGCTAGTTGGTGATTGGTTGGTGGCTGGGTGGTGGTCAGTTGGTGATTGGTTGGTGGCTGGGTGGTGGTTAGTTGGTGATTGGTTGGTGGCTGGTTGGTAGCTAGTTGGTGATTGGTTGGTGGCTGGTTGGTAGCTAGTTGGTGATTGGTTGGTGGCTGGTTGGTAGCTAGTTGGTGATTGGTTGGTGGCTGGTTGGTAGCTAGTTGGTGATTGGTTGGTGGCTGGTTGGTAGCTAGTTGGTGATTGGTTGGTGGCTGGTTGGTAGCTAGTTGGTGATTGGTTGGTGGCTGGTTGGTAGCTAGTTGGTGATTGGTTGGTGGCTGGTTGGTAGCTAGTTGGTGATTGGTTGGTGGCTGGTTGGTAGCTAGTTGGTGATTGGTTGGTGGCTGGTTGGTAGCTAGTTGGTGATTGGTTGGTGGCTGGTTGGTAGCTAGTTGGTGATTGGTTGGTGGCTGGTTGGTAGCTAGTTGGTGATTGGTTGGTGGCTGGTTGGTAGCTAGTTGGTGATTGGTTGGTGGCTGGTTGGTAGCTAGTTGGTGATTGGTTGGTGGCTGGTTGGTAGCTAGTTGGTGATTGGTTGGTGGCTGGTTGGTAGCTAGTTGGTGATTGGTTGGTGGCTGGTTGGTAGCTAGTTGGTGATTGGTTGGTGGCTGGTTGGTAGCTAGTTGGTGATTGGTTGGTGGCTGGTTGGTAGCTAGTTGGTGATTGGTTGGTGGCTGGTTGGTAGCTAGTTGGTGATTGGTTGGTGGCTGGTTGGTAGCTAGTTGGTGATTGGTTGGTGGCTGGTTGGTGGCTAGTTGGTGATTGGTTGGTGGCTGGGTGGTGGCTAGTTGGTGATTGGTTGGTGATTGGTTGGTGGCTGGTTGGTAGCTAGTTGGTGATTGGTTGGTGGCTGGTTGGTAGCTAGTTGGTGATTGGTTGGTGGCTGGGTGGTGGCTAGTTGGTGATTGGTTGTTTTCTGGGTGGTGGCTAGTTGGTGGCTAGTTGGTGATTGGTGGGTGGCTGGGTGGTGGCTGGTTGGTGGCTAGTTGGTGATTGGTTGGTGACTGGGTGGTGACTGGTTGGTGGCTGGGTGGTGGTTGGTTGGTTATAACTAAGGGGAAATTTCTGAAATAATCACTGGTAACGCTCAAGCCACCAAATACAAAGTTAGACTGCCACCGTCACTCTCAACCCATCTAAAACAAAGTTAGACTGCCACCGTCACACTCAACCCATTTAAAACAAAGTTAGACTGCCACTGTCACACTCAAACCACCAAACACAAAGTTAGACTGCCACTGTCACGCTCAAACAACCAAACACAAAGTTAGACTGCCACTGTCACGCTCAAACCACCAAACACAAAGTTAGACTGCCACTGTCAAGCTCAAACCACCAAACTCAAAGTTAGACTGCCACTGTCACGCTCAAACCACCAAACACAAAGTTAGACTGCCACTGTCACGCTCAAACCACCAAACTCAAAGTTAGACTGCCACTGTCACACCCAAATCATCTAACACAAATTTTTAAATTCAAATAGCATTTTCTTCACCAACTCTGACAGTCCATTACTTACTGCACGGCTGCCTCAGATCCTTGCTAACTGCTGTCAGCATGAGTTGTCCACCGACCGTATGCCACTGTCCAGATTTAAGAATCAACAAGGAATTGTTATGATACAGGCACTCTATCAGTATTGTGTTGAGAAAACATTTTCTCATATAATTCACCGCCACCCCCCCCCCCAAT